GAACTCCGTGTGTAATAAGCATGTTTTGAGACAATTTTCCAGATATAGATACTTTTTGTTTTCTATACGTTAGGTAAGATCTGAACCAATTGATAGTTACATCATCACACTGGTAGAGTTTCAATTTTCGTATTTCCTTGCTTTACTTGTTTAGAGTTATAGATATAAAATAATGTAATATTCCTTCATATTTTGTTAATATATGACAAAAAGACAAAATAAAATAATAATCAAGTGGTTTTTTAGCTTTATTATTTAGATTATTTTATTGTTTTTATATATCTGTGTCTATAACACAATCTCAGTTTTAAGTAGTTCTCCAGAGGAAACATGACGTTTTGCAGAATAATTGTTTATGAGTTATCATTGCTGCACATAACTTAAAAATATGTATACTTTAATGAAATGTTTTGGTATGATACAAAAACAGTAAATGTATCGATATTCACCATAACAAACAATGATAATCGAATCTTCATGATTATGTGAAATTGTGCATTAGATGCTAAAAAAGTATTTTAACGGTTTTGATATTATATAAAAATGATTCTGCAGACACAATTTATTCATGGAAAGTTTTTAAATAAGTATAAAATATAGACTACCATTGTAACTATATATAGACAAGTTGACAATGTTGGATAGAATTTTCTAAATATTTGCATTTTTTTTTTTATTAAAAGTATCACTATGCTTACTTCATGTATACCAATATGACATATTTAGTATCAAAATAACAGTAATTTTATACACTATACACTGTCAAAATTAATGTTCAAAATACGATTTTCCTGTGACATTTATCTGTCATTTTGTTGGGATACCCCCATCACTCAACCTGGTGTTATGCAAGGAGGTCTACTACAGTTATTAGTAGTAATATATAAATATCACATTCATGAGAGGGCGATATTGCATATTTTCACCCCAAGGAAGCATTGTTAACCGAGGCGAAGTCGAGGTCAACAATGCTTTCCGAGGGGTGAAAATATGCAATATCGCCCTCTCATGAATGTGATTTTTATTTTATTATACCGAGTGTCATGTTTAGGTGTTTCACCACTTCACCATTTTTAAAGGTCGACAAAAGTTTCAGAAAGTTTTCACTGGGATGAACCAGGGGCGCATACATTCGGCGCACGTAACAATTTTTGGAATAACACCCTGGCACTGGGACGAACCGTGCACGCATACGTTTGGCGCATGTGATATTTTTTGGAATAACACCCTGTCTTCTTTATCTTTGTAAAACGAGCAAGTAACATTGAAAATGTTCACATCTTTCTCAACCAATCAGATTACGAGATTTTAACAGAAGGTATAATAATAATGCATAATTACATATGCGGTTATTGTTCATTTTCATCTATCTACATATGGCGAAAACAAATCGGAGTGGGGACCGAATGTTGACCCCATCCTTATAACTGAACAAGGTTTGGTTGTAAGAACAGGTTTCTATATAACATTTCTCTTTTTTAGATTGGTTCAACTTGGGTAATTATGGATTGTTCCGGTATGCGTGTTTTGTGTTGCATTCTGAGTAGCCCGAGTTTCCTCTGGCCCCCGACACCAGACTTAAACTTTTGTACGATGGCACGTACTGACAACGATAGAAGTGGTATAGTTGTACATGCAACTTGACAAAGTGGCGAAAGTGACATGTCAGCGCAAAAACAAAACTTGACAAAGTGACATGCCAGAACACACTATTGTTACCGGTATAGTTGTACATGCAAAACTTGACAAAGTGACATGCACACATTCATATTAGCGGTATATAGTTGTATATGCAAAACTTGACAAAGTGACATGTCAAATTGACACATTTATCAAGGTCGGTATCCGTCAAGAACTCTACTTGATTTATCTGGGTAGCATTAGGTGCTGGAGAATGTCACGCACAAATCTACCATTAAGTATATGTGTTTTATGTTGGCGTGTAAAGCAGTAGACATTTATCTGTCAAAATGTCTAAGTCTGGTGTCAGGACCAGACGAAACTCGGGCTTCGTTCTGAGCAATTGAATTTATGATTTTAAAATCATGTCTTTTTTTCTTGTATTTTTTAAAATTTTGTCAGCAATATCCTGATTTTTCAGTACAGTTTTTGACTTTTTAAAAAAGAATAATACTTAACGTTAAATAACTGTATAATTGCCTGTCATTTCAAGATTTTCATGTAGAGATATATTTGTCATTTAATCTACATTCCCTCCTAGTCTACAGTGCATGTAGTACAGTTTTATATTGAATAGAATCATGGCAAGGAGCATAGTACTCAGTAGCAGATTTAAGAGGAGGAAATGCTCCCCTCCCAATGGAGAAAAGGTGGGGATCGGGGCTGTAGTCCTCCTTAAAAATGTTTTGTAAACATGTACTCTATGAAAGACTGCTGTGACTTTTTAGTCTCTTCAATATCAATTAAGTAGAATCGATTCCTTTCCTATGAATCGTGACACCCTATTATTTATATACAAATGTTACAAGACATATCATACAACTTTTCTCAGTTGCAATATAAACAAGAGGCCCATTTGGCATGTATTCGGCACTTGTTATCCTTATGTGACCTTCAAAGTAGGCAAACATCAAAATATTTTCAATAAAATCAATAACAAGTACCGGTAAGTAGCTGCTACAGGTACATATCTAGTATCTATGCTACAGGTACATATCTAGTATCTAGGCTACACCTCATAGACCTCTGTTGGAAAAGTTAGTTTACATTATTCATACAACTTTCAAAGTGAATCAAGGTCATTCATTTTGACATACTCGATAGTCTTCCAAGCATATACTACCTGCCATATATCATGAACCTAGGTATCTTAGTTATTCGGAAGAAATAGTTTAAGGTAAATGGTACCACTGTATCAGTTTTAATCGCGAAGAAGAGTTCCACTAAGAGTTTTCTCCCTTTATATAGAAGATGAAGGAAGCAAAAGGAGGTTCTTTCTGAATTCGACTAACTTTCCTCTATCAAGGGTTTTTATAAAGTATGTGGTCCATTTATTGGACATTAATTTTGATGCAGTGAAAGTGACCTTCAAAGTGGGTCAAGGTTATTCATTTTAACTAAACGATACCCTTCCATCAGACACTAGGTCACTTTGCTGTGCATAAGAAGGTTTAAAGCACACTTGACCCCTGTGACATTGGAAATGGATCATGGTCATTAATTTCATTTAACATGACACGCCTTCATCCCAGCATGATGCTAGCCAAATATTAGGATGCTATATCTCTTGAATATTAAGAAGTTGTGAGAAGATTTTAAGTATTTGACCCCTGTGACCTTGACATAGGGCCAATGACATCTATTTGAAGAATCTTTATAGATCTTCATTTCAGCCTGCTACAGGCAAAATATTATCTTAGGCCACTTTATTACTCAGAAGTTTACTGAAAAGACAAGAGGCCAGAGGGCCTGTATCGCTCACCTGAATATTTAAGCAGGCATAGCAAAATATTCTCATTAAATATTACCCTGTACTACAAATATTTCACTCGCAAACTCTTCTGACTCCATCTGTTGAAACTACCAGCCGAAACATTATTGTATGATTTTATGCTTTTTGGTTCTTCTTCAGAAGTTGTTTGAAGTGTTTGATATATTTTCCCCTGTGACCTTGTAAGAAGGTCAAGGTCATTTTCCTTCTCAAACTTTGTTGGCTCTATCCCAAGAAGCTACCAGCCAAATCTTATGAATCCATTCCTTTTGGTTCCTCAGAACAAATCGTTTAAAATGTTGTTGACCACTGTCACTTTTAAAGTAGGTTGAGGTTCTTTTAATTTGCAAACATTGGTGAGAAGCCACCAGCCAAATATTATGATTCTATGCCTTTCGATTATTCAGAAGAAGTCGTTTGATGTTTTTGACATTTTTGACTGCTGTGACCCTGAAAAAAGGTCAAGGTCATTTTCATTCTGAACTTTGTCATGCTCAATCTTCAGAAGTTACCAGCCAAATAGTATAGATTCTTTACCTTTCAGTTCCTCTGTAGAAGTTGTTTGAAGTGTTTGACCCCTGTAACCTTGAAAAAGGGTCAAGGTAATTTAAACTAATTTTCGCTCCCAAACTTTGCCAGGCTCCATCCGAGGAAGCTACCAGCCAAAAATGAAGATGATTTCATACCTTTTAGTTCTTCAGGTGAATTCGTTTGAAGAGTTTGACATATTTGACCGCTGTGACCTTGAAAATAGGTCAAAGTCATTATCATTCCCAAACTTTGTCTGCCTCTATCCCAGGTAGCAACCAGCCAAATATGAAGATTCTATCCCTTTCAGTTCTTCAGAAGAAGTTGTTTGAATAGTTTGACACATTTGACCCATGCGACCTTGAAAGTAGGTCAAGGTAATTTTCATTCTCAAAGTTTAGCAGGGTCTATCCCATGAAGTCACCAGCCAAATATGAAGATTCTATACCTTTTAATTCATGGGAAGAAGTCTTTTGAAGCATTTGACATATTTGACGGCTGTGACCTTGAACGTAGGTCAAGGTCATTTTCATTCTCAAACTTTGTCTGGCTCTATCACAGGAAGTCACCAGCCAAATATGAAGATTCTTTATCTTTCAGTTCTTCAGAAGAAGTCGTTTGAAGTGTTTGACACATTTGACCCCTGTGACATTGAAAGAAGGTCAAGGTCATTTTCGTTCTCAAACTTTGTCAGGCTCCTTCCAGTTAAGCTTTCAGCCAAATATCATGACTTTTGGCCTGTCCGTTCTTCAGAAGAAGTTGTTTAAAAGAAAAGTTGACAGACGGCACTTTCGGGCAGGTGAGCTAAAAATTGTATTAGAATGGGATACATTTATATCAGTGCCAAACAAAGTACCTAGGCACAGAATTGTATATCCGAGTTATGGCAAAAGTACAATGATGATGTTGATTACGTCCTATTGATGAACAATGTATATTTATAGACCTTGCTCTGATCCATCTCTCTTGCTCTGCCCTTGCTGTCAGTCAAATGTGCTAAGGAAAATGAAAGACTTTTTGCATAAAAAATACTTTATTTCCATAGTGATCAATAAATGTAATTGGTCTATTCAATTCACATCTTAGCAAAAATGTAATGATGCATGAACAGTACCAGTACTAATACATGTATTTTTTCATCTGAAAATGTTCTCCTTGACTTGCAATAATAAACATTGAGTGATGGAGCGGAATGCCTTACATTTGTAAAACCTTCCTTATGAGAGCAGCAAAATGTCATCTTATAGGTGGTCAAACAATGGGCTGAACCAATCTATCATATTAATGTCTTACTATCACACTATGTTACACATGGCCCTCGAGTAAGGCACCTTTGTTTAGAGCAGTCACTTACACACAGCAGTCACAATGTGTCAAAATCAGGTGACCAATGTTGTTAAAAGTTCGCTGTGATAGATGTCTGCTGTTGTTGTGATAGATGTCTGCTATTGTTGTGATAGATGTCTGCTGTTGTTGTGATGGATGTCTGCTATTGTTGTACAGCGTTTTGAGACAGAAATCTTCTACGACTTGTAGATCTATATGAAGGAAGTCTTCAATGATTGTACATCCTGTCCACAAAGTGTCACTGTTGTATGGTGTAGCACTAAATCTTGTCAGAGGATCACCATCACTCCAGATCATCATCACTGTCAACCTCTTGTTCCTGATTTCGGTAGCTGATTATCAGTTAAGGGGATTAGTGACAAAACATCAAATATTTAATAAAATGATAAAGGTACAAGTTGATTCATAGCTAACCTTTAAAAAAAAAATCCGAAGACACATGCACAAAAAAGACAAGTACAGATACCAAAATAGAATAATTGAGATTTATCAGAAATATTTCTCGATACATTCTTTATTCTATAAATAAATATGTCTATTACACTAGTTTTCAGCAGTACCATGAGAGAAATAATAAACTGCTGAGTCACTGATGCTGGACGCACACAAACATGTAGATTTGTATAAAATATGGAATATTTTAGTACTGATGTGTTTCACACCTTTGTGCTGTGTTTCATAACAAATTCTCTTCGCTACGACTCACTTTAATATACTACATCACTTATTTATGAAAGGAGTGATGTGCAACCTGGAATAGTTACAACAAAAGTATGTTTTTATGTTTTCTTCCTACAGACCTAATAGGATTACAGATGGTACAAGTATACTGCTGTATTTATTCTGCAATAAGCTCATGCCTGTAATAAGCCCACCCATGACAAATACAGTTTAATAGAAATATTTACCGAAAAAATGCTATTTCATTGCCCTCCAATAAGCCCATCCCCTACTTTGAACCAGAGTTTATGTGTTCGCCCCATGGGCTTACTGCAGAATAAATATGGTATACATTTCCTGTTTTACGTACAGTACATGCTGGGCTATACTATGACTCACTTTAAGCTACAATTATTATTGATTAAAGAAGTGGTGTGCAAACTGGAAAAGTACAACAGAAGTATACTTTTTTTTTACAGACGTATGTAATAGGATTCAGTAGAAATACTAACTATAGTATAACACATGCTATTTCATTGTCCTGCAATAAGCCCACCCCTTGGCTTGAATAAGATTTTATGTGTTGGCACAATTGACTTATTGCAGCATTAATATGGTATCCATTTCCCATAACATAATAACAAGTACATGTAGAAAGTTCAGAATTGTGTCATCATAGATTAGATTGACAAAGGATACGACATGTCCACTCCCTCCGGATTGTATTGTTCCATTGTAACACCGAGTCTTTGGGTCAACTTCTCTGCAGCATGTCTGGCTTGCAGCTCCTAAAATACAAAACAATATGACATATGTGTGTACTTGATAAATAACAGGTTAAGGGTTCCTAGCATGATGTATAACAAGAGGCTCAGAGGGTCTGTATTGCTCACCTGGATAATTCAGCAACCATGTGAAAATATTCTTATTAACCCATATAATACTGCAACTATTTCCAAATATTGGCTCTGTCTCTAAGCAGAAGCCATTCCTAATTGGGTCCCTTCTTTACCTAAATTTCCCCTATTGGGCCCTGCCCCTCTGCCTCTATGGGGGCGCTACCCTTTGCCCAAAGATGCTCCGGGCTGATTGTGGCTAAAAATCCCTCAAATTTTACCGAAGGAGAACGATTTTAAAGATTTACCTCAAGTTCCACTATTGGTTCTGCCCCTCTGCCCCCATGGGCCAGACATTCCATTTAATCAAAACCGAGTCCCCTTTACCTAACAACACTCTGTACACTTTTTTTTTTTTATAAATCCCTCCAATTGCACTGAAGGAGAAGAATCTTAAACATTTATTATTATGTTCCCCTATTGGGCTCTGCCCTTCTCCCTCTGCCCACAGGGGCCACAATCTCCATTTTTACAAAATTGAGTCCCCTTTGCCCAAAGATGCTCTTTACCAAATTTGATAAAATTCCCTCAAATCCTACTGAAGGAGAAAGATTTTAAAGATTAACCTCAATTTCCCCTATTTTGCCCCACCTCTCTACCATCAGGTGTGGCAACACACTCTCTGTTTATACAAAACTGAGACCCACTTGCCAAAGGATACTCTAGGCTAAGTTTTCGTCAAAATCCACATGAGCCATTCAGGACTATGGTAGCGTTTTAAAGGAAAAGTTGAATGACAGACAGACGCTTTACCACAGCATCAGCACCGATCACTTGCCCTGAGCTTAAAACTATTGCTACATACATACTACATTGTAGAACTATCAAGTATCTCTTTCCAATGAAAAAGATGGTGTCACCCCTCCTCCAGTTTTTGGTTTTGAAAAGTTGCTGTAGTGTCACAAGACCCAATTGCAAGATCACGGCTATCATAGAATCACATTTACTATTTTGTTTTTAAGTACTGAAACAACATGAATTAAGAGTGATCTCAAGACATCCATTTCATCGTCAAACTATCATGCTGATAAAAATGTACAACTGGACCCTCATTCATGGCTCTGGTTGCAAGTACAATTATGTTCATGTATGCTGATATATATAATTAAATCTCAGTACAGATCCATACAAGAAAAAGTTTTATCAAATTCTTTTTAAAAGGAATTAAAGCAGTCTCTTATTTATATTATCTGATATTGCTGTCAATGATGACTATTACAAGGGGAGGAAACTCTTTTGACTGATGTTGTAAATTAAATGATTGAGCTGGTTATTTTATAGGAAGAGTGAGACTATTCAAATAATCAAATGTACAGCCCTCGATACCACAGGAAGAAAAATAACATCATGTCAATAAAGTTCAGAAACTATGAATATTCTCAAAAAAATAAAAATAAATGTTTGTACATGATGTATTAAGAATTTTTAAAACCATCTGTTGTACACGTATTTATAATTTTCTGTTCAGTCTTTCTTCTGAATCGAAATTCATAGTGAAAGCATGGTTAGATCTATCTGAACTTACCTCCTGTTTGACCTTTTGTGTCTTCTGTAGGCTAAGTGACTCATTGAGAGGTATGAGCTTGCTCTCCTTGTGTTTGTAGAGAGGGGGTGTGGCTGCCGACTCCTCCACAGCCCGGGGGGTGACATGGACGGGAGGAGCATAATTCTGGTCTCTTGACCTGAATTTATATTCTCTTGGCATGTTTGAAATATCTGTATTTTTTAGACCGCTAACAAATTAAAAGAACATGTCAAAAATAGGAACAAACCTGTACATTGTGTATAGAGATTCAGTGAATCCGACAACAGATCTTATGGAAACAATCTGAATAGTTAACTTTTCGATCAATACATACCATATCTATCCTGCACTAAGCCCATGGGTGGGGGAAGTTTGGGGGGGGGGGGGAAATATAATCTCTTGACTCAAACTAAACTAAAGTGATAGGTATATTACCTGGTCAATGAAATATTAATTGTTAGCATTTCAACTGAACTGCAATAAATGTTGATTGGCTTTAATTTACCAGGCAAGGGCTTCTTGCAGGATAGATTTAGTATACATTTTTATACTTTCAACATTTTTCAAAGCAAGGGAAGATATTTTTTCTAAAAATGAGTAAATATCTATCGAAATGTTCCCACAGGGACTGTAACAATATAAATAGTTATTCTATGTCTACTTTAAAATGTGTCATTAGTTTTTAGTATCACAAAAAAATGTATCATTTCATATAAATATTAAGAAGAATGTGTATGTTAAAATTTGTTTTACCTGTTTGGTTTAGAAGGAATGTGGATTGCTGTGGCATTCTGGATTGCCTTGCTGTAGGCATTTGTAGTTTTCTCCTTCTGTATCCTGTCCATCACTGACACTTCTGCAGAAATCTGCATTTTTTTAAGCGAGCCCTCTAGGTCAGAATCGTGCACTGTCTTTGGATTTTTATTTTCAGTTATATCATTTTTCATTTCCACTTCAGAACTATTATCACTTTGGGGCTGTGTTGTCATCGTAGTTGTAGACGTGGTTAACATTGAATTTTGTTCCTGTTGTGGTAACCTCATTTCATCTTCAAAACTTGAAACAGGCACGGTTTGATGGAGTTTGTTACTTAATGAACTATTATTCATTTTCTGTTCTTGTTTTTCTCCCCGAAGACCAGTGGGTACAGATTGTACTTGGTTTTGTGACATCTGTCCTGTGGGTGGGAAAACATGACCACCATCTGCCTGTTGTGTTCTCACTGACAAGAGCTGCTGTAGCTTTTCATAAAATGTTCTTACTTTTGCTCCCTTGTCTGGCAAAGATTCAACAAATTTCCTAGAAATTAAAATAAGAAGTTATTCAATAAAATTGGTTGGGTGATCAGCTGTTATTCAAACAATTTCTTCTTTTAGGATTCATTCTCTTAAGTGTTTTCCCCTCAAATACTTCATACATGATAAGATTAATGAAAAGACGAAAAAAAAATATCCTGATTTAGTATAATCTTCATAAATATTGTTCAAAAATAAGAAAGAAAGAATCTAGTTATTGTATAGTTTCAGATATGTTTTTGTTTATAATTGTTTACAACATTTGCTTAACTTGTATATTACTGAAATAAGACATTATTAATATTAGATTCAATAATTAATGATCAAAAGAGATGACAGGACGTATGATTTTCCGAGACAAGAAATTAAATGTCACTTTATCAGTGAAGGCTGCTTACGTTTTGCAGAGTATTTTTTCTTGGCGTGAAAGTAATTCCATTAACTCGACAGTAGATTTTGACGAGATGTCCCCAACATAGCCCTGTTTCTGTTTAGGGCTCATCATCTTGTTGGCCTAAGGTTTTCAAGTAAGCAGTAGTATTGGTCATTCAGTTCTCTAGCTGTAACAAGGACTAAAATAGTCAGGTACATAATGTATTTTGTAGCCTAAGTCTTAAAGCAACCGACTAAACTGTATACCACATATAATAAATGTCGCAGTTATGTTGCAGTCAAATATTTTTCAAATTGGTGGTTTAGTATTTACCAGAAAACAGGGAGCATAAACATATAACCTTAAGAGAAACGGAAAGTTTGCAAAAACCAGATTGGGATTTAAACTTGAAATTTCGAAACTCTACACACTACAGACATTCGACATTGCACTTGCAAGCTTTTAATTTATTTTCAAATATCCGACTCTTATAAAATCACAAAATACTCTGTACATGAATTCAGCTGTAACAAAAGAGGAAAAATGCACAGCCAGACAGGGAGTTGAATACAGAACCTCCCAAAAGTAAACGGATGCTTTAACTAATTGGGCAACCCTGTTTGCTGCCTAACGACCCAGTCCAGTTATGCGTAAACTCTCCTCTCTCCTTATCTAAGTCTTTGCCCACAGATACAATACTTTTACAACCCCAGTTTAGGAATCCCCTCGCCAAGCGTACACCCATACACAACCAAACCTGGAATCGAACCCGGGACCTCCAAACAGTTGATGGATTCTCTAACCAGTTGAGCTACCGGGTTGCCTGCAAATGATCCCACTAAACAGGTCCAGTACGAACACAGTCGATCACATGATTTTGGCAGTATATGTCGAAAAGTCTGGTGTCAGGGCCAGAGGAAACTCATGCTCGTAAAGGTCAAGTCATTTAGACTAGACTGACAGGAGTTGGAAAACGCACTAAATAAACTGGGATTTGAACCTATGATATCTCGACACAGATTTATTCTCTAACGATATTATTCTGTAAATAACCTTTAAAATTAGCTACCATAAATGGACTAACTGCTATGTACACTTAGTAAAGAAATAAGACACTCGGGTAAAGCATGTAACGTTACACATTAACAAAATATAAACGACAGATATTTCATTTTTTCCAAATGCAACTTGAACGACAATGTTCTGTACTTTAGTCCTACCAAATAATGTCAAAGCTGATCATCGAGAAACAAATCACCCTGTTGAAACGAAAAGATTTGACACGAATATTAGCTTGTTTTGTTCCCACTTGCAGTTATAAATACACAGGTAACCCTTCACACAACTCGAAATTTCGCAGGGTGTCAATGTTATTCAGATGCTTCACATTCGTAAAGGTTAAGGGTGGTCGTATTTAAGCGTTTTATTGCCTATGATATAGGCGATTCTACTAATTACAGCCCGGTAAAGCCCGGTACAGCTCGGTACAGCCCGGCACAATGTGACCGGGCTGTTGCAAGGAGAAATTGTGTCACCAATTTTATTTTCAATGTTTGAGAATGACTGTGTTAAATACTCTGTCTGATTACACTGACAGATGGACTCTGTGGGCTAATATTGATAAAACTAAAATATTTGTATTTAGAAAATCAGGAAGTTTTTGTTGCAATGAGAAATGGATTTACAAAGGTGAATTTATTGAAGTTGTTGGTGAGTTCTGTTACCTTGGTATTATTCTGAAATATAATTGCAACTTCAATAAAGCACAGAAACAATTAGCCGCTAAATGCCGTAAAGCAGTATTCAGTCTAAGAAAATAATGTATAAACATGCAATTAAATTTTAAAACTTATTTGTTACTTTTTGATACATATGTTGGTAATATTGCTAACTATGCATGTTAAGTGTGGGGTATGTTTTTGCAAGAATATACTCGGTGTAAAGGGGTCACCATCCAGTGCTATGGTGTATTGGGAGCTTGGCAGATACTCTTTTTCTGTGATCAGGATCTTCAAATACTGGTGTAAATTAAGGACACACACTTGTATACTGCAAGGTTGCTATGGATATTTGTTTAATAGGTGTGAATCTAATCCAAATTGTAAAAACTGGGCAGCAAATGTAAAAATGGAATTGTCAATGTTAGGTATGGGAGAAATATGACAAAGTCAGCAAAATATTGATTTAAAATATTTTCTTCCTTTAGTCAAACAACGCTTGCATGATACATTTCAGCAAAATCTGTTCACTATTTTTTCAACTTCTTCAAAGCGTAACTTGTACCAATATCTTGTAGACCATATATGAGTTATTTATCAAAGCCAATTTTATTGCAATTCAAGAGAGTAATTTGTACTTTTCGTTTGCCTGCGCACTGTTTAACAATTGAAACAGGAAGATACAACAAGCAGGCTGTTTCTAACCGTATATGCCCAATATGTACTACTGAAGTAGAAGATGAATATCATTTTGTTTTCATTTGTAAAGAATATGATTTACTTCGACAAAAACTGTTAAATCCTTAGTACCGGTGCAAGCCATCCACGTATAAACTTTTGAAATTACTTAGTACAGAAAATGTTACAGAACTGTATAATTTTGGATTTTTTTTGTGTAAAGCTTTTGAAATTAGGTCACCTCTCTTTTCTATGAAATGAGTGAATACTTGACTTTGTATGACATTGTATTGTGCATAATACATGTAATGTAATATCAATAAGCTGTATTGCTTACGATAATAAAAGAATAGAATAGAGAAGTAACTATACGTTCAAAACACCGCAACTCCGCCAATAATTACGATATCCTAACATTTTTTTCAGCGTTGTGTTATTAACACACATACCTAAATAATAAAAGAGTTTTAGTTGAGCTAACGATACAGGGGAAAGCCCCGGCGATCCCGATATTACAAATAACATGTGTGATTTCAGCAGCTGCGTATATGGTTGAGAAGTAACTAATTTCAAAAATCAAAACTATGCCAATTTTTAACATGTTCTCACAATTGTTCAGAATTGAATTAAATTCATACATACTTTAACCACTAAATAGTTTTAGTTGAGCTAATGAAACTGGTGAAGGCCCGGTCGAACCAGATACCACAAAAAACTTTTTATGATGAAGATGCATTTGTATGTTCACACTGTCTTTCATATTTTGTTTCTTATTCCGAGTAAAGTACTTTTATTAAATTAACTTTACAGAGTTATGCCCGGGCAGTCCTAATATTGTAAATAACCAGTCCTGCAGTGTTGGTTAACTTCAAATTACAATAACTTGGCTAATTATGAACATATTTTGATGTTTTCTTCAGTTTTGTATTTTTCGTTTCTAAACCTATAAGAATAACTTGTTTTAGTCCAGCTTACCACACAAATGAAAGCCCGGGCGGTGTTTGTATTGCAAATAACAAACGTCTGGCTCTTCTCCAGCGGGTTGTTGCGATGTTACTGATTTCAAATAGTCATAACTCGCTCAAATGTTAACATTTTTACACAACTTCTTGATCATTACATTCATATTGTTACAAAAAATGCAAAATATACATTTGTTATGGTGTACGAGTGGAGACAAAAGCCCGGGCGGTCAATATATCACTACAGGGCTGTGCCGTGCTGTCCCGGGCTTTACCGGGCTGTGCCGGGCTCTACCGGGCTTTACCGGGCTGTAATTTGTAGCACCCTATGGGTGAATATTAAACCTCAGTTTGTTGATCAACACTTTCTAAAATGGAGCGAACATTTTCAGGTAAATATATCACTTATTCTTATCTTTTAGATCGTTAGATCGCTGTATATCACTTTCCTACCAACAATTAATTCATATGGATTCAACGAATTTCAAACATGCGGCTAATTTATGTCTTAGTAAGATTTATGGTTGAATACACTGATGACACCATCAACAGCTGATTAACGCATGCAAGGGGGTTTATGCACTTGTGACCAAGAAGGGGGGTTTACAAAATGGGACTTGTAAGAAGAAATATACCTAGATATCATAAAAAATTTATCATGTATCGATTTTATTCAAAATAAAGCCTTGCAGATGCCAGATACAAAAAATGTATTTGGAATTCTGTCCAAAAAATATGTAGAATCTGATTATTAGTAGAGCTGTGCAGTAGACCCATGTTGGTACAATCTTACATTGAATTGGTGGTCACTTTGTGGAGTAGACTAGTATTTTTTTTTTATATAATGTAATGTTTTAAGAACTGTCCTTGCATACTGAATATTGATAGTGCTAATGATTCAAGATACATGTGTATAAGAAAATTGCTTACCTCAATGCAAGCATACAATGATTCCAAACAAACAACTAATAATAATTCAACATTTATAGCAGCCTATATAGTTTGTTAAAATTACTCTAAAGCGCTTTACAACATATGGATAATAGTATAATTAGTTATAATTGTGAAACAAAAACAAAGGCTTACACTCACTTTTATGCTGTACATGTACCTGATTGTGAAGAGATTTATGTAACACAACCAAAAAGTGTGTATATGTGATGTTTTGATGACTAGTACAGTATGTACTCTGTCACCTTCATCAGGCAAATGACCAGTGAAGCTATGTACACAAAGGTGTAAAATATGTACGAGTTGTCGATCCACAAATCGATGTTGATTCGGCTACGCTGTAAGCTCAATTGGAACTGGCCGCCCACTGCAATTTATCCAGATGGCTTCCTTTATCTGCCGCTTGAACAGATTGCTCTCTCTGTCAAATACTTACACAGGAAAGATACGGAAACCTAAGAGGGATAGAAATTCAACCGATCAGAAAGGAAGCAGACAAGAGTCCCGGATCGATAAATCAGCAATCACAGACCACGCCACACAGAAAAGTCATGTGATTGACTGGGATAACTCCAAAGTTTCGGATAGAGATCTAGAGAGATCTACAGCAATCTGTTCAAGTCGCAGATAAATTAAAGGAAAACATCTGGATACGCTGGAGTGGGCTAGTTCTTAATCGAGATGAGGGGGCTCATAGACTCTCTCACATCTATGACCAAGTATTAAACAAAGTGTAGCTGAATCAAGTCATTTCGATACATTTATATATATTAACAACTATAATTGTACATACGCTTACAGCGTAGCTGAATCAACATCGATTTGTGGACAACTTGTACATATTTTACACCTTTGCGTATATGTATACACTAATTCACTAGTCATTTAATTTGTTGAAGGTGACAGAGTACATACCGTACTAGTCATCGAAACGTCATATACACGCATGAACAATTTTTGGTTGTGCTATATGAATCTTTTCACAATCCATACTTACCAACCTGAAGGAAATGTTTAATTTAGATACATGTACAATAACTGATGTGGAGGTTACATGTGGTATAAAAGGGACATTTTCTACCCTTGTTACAGAAATATTGTGTCTCTGGTTCACTGTTGCTGCGATGGCGCTGCAACATTGCGACAATATTGCAGCATGTTTATATTTCGTATGCAAATTAGCTATATAAGTTTCTGCTGATATCCCTAGAATATAGCCAGAATGTTCCTGCACATACACTTCGATTTATCGCCACAGCTTTGTGGTGATATTGTGGCACACTACATGTATATACAATGTATTGAGAGCCCTTCTGGCAATATATAGCCAGAATGTTCTGGTGCACTTGCGGCGATATCACAATGATGTGTATTATTTTATGTCCTAATGTACTTCCACTATATTAACTTTAGTTGTTATTGTACCTTCAGAATAAAAACGTTCTCCTGTGTTATTATTAGCTAGAGAGCATGGAGTCTGTGATGCAGCAAATTATTAAAAGTCTTCTTATGTCACCGCAATGATTCTTTAATTTTCCTGCCTTTTTTTCTGTCAAATGGACGCATAAGTCCAATTTTGTATTAAAGTTTAAACTCCATTTCATGCAAAAAAATCTGGGAGGAATAGTTGATAAAAGAAATCAAAAACTGTTATATATATTTGTTTAAGTCCTCATCTTCCAATTTTGTATTATAGTTTAAACTCCATTTCATGCAAAAGTATCTGACAGGAATAATTGATTAAAGAAATCAAAGAACTGTTTCATGTTTTGGTCCTTATACTTCTTGCCAAATTCTTAACACTAGTACTGTATTTGTTTGATTTTAGAATTTTGAGTGATTGTCACAAGCGATGGCTGAAAGCTCCTTCAGTGACCTCAGTTTTGACCAGTCCCAGGGTAAGTTAACCAATGGGGTATCATAAAGCTGTGTTAAAGTTTGGTCTATTGGAGTTCATTTGGGGACCATGGTCAAATAATGTGTTTTATTCAAGATCTGTATATAGTCCTGAATGAAAAACTTATAGAAGATTAGCATGCAAATATAATAATCATTAAAGTGCTGAGAAATCTAAAAATAAATTCTGTCATATGTATTTAAAAAAGCTGTGATAAAGAGCTCAAAATAAAGTTTTTTTACTGTTTTTGAAAATATATGAGCTCATGATAAAGGGAAAACATTTAACATTGATTTAACTTAAAGTTTCCATATCAAGTGAGGTGTGATCAGGGTTAGTTGATATCAACTAGGAACTTGTCACTCTAGTTAGTATGTACAGCGTATATGCAGACTGTTAAATTTGTATTTTTAAATGTGGTAAGTATGATAATTACTATAAATCAATATAGCATCATACATAAGCTTTTATATCCCGGAAATTAAAAAAAATATGATACCTTAGGATAATTATGTAAAATGTAACGTCTGATTTCTTCAGAGCTTTTATAAGAGATGTTATAAATATGATGTTTACAGGGAGAGACTTTAGATTGATTATGTTTGGTGAAGACGGGGTCTAAAACAATTGACAGTTTGGTATCAAATATAGTAGGCCTCTCATGATCAGAAAAATGGGAGCTAGCTAGGGTCACAAAAAACCTCCTCCTTCCCATATTCATTATTTGTATTCCATACATTTACTTGCAAAATAGCCATCAGAGGATGGTAAGCTGTATGTTCATTATTTAATAATTAATTAAAAGATAATGTTTTCCCCCCACAGAGGATGGTAAGCTGTATGTTCATTATTTGATAATTAATTAAAAGATAATGTTTTCCCCACAGAGGATGTTAAGATAGAGACCAGTCCCACTGTTGGTCAGCACTTCACCTTCTCCAGGACCAGCAGCACTGGTTCTATACCCACAGGATGTGCATCATCAGCCTCATCAGCACATAACTCGGGTAAGTATCACATCAGCACTGGTTCTATAGCCACAGGATGTGCATCATCAGCCTCATCAGCACATAACTTGGGTAAGTATCACAGCAGCACTGGTTCTATACCCACAGGATGTGCATCATCAGCCTCATCAGCACATAACTCGGGTAAGTATCACATCTTGTTATATCTTTACATTTTATTCTCTATACTCTTCTATAGTGAAAAAAGTTCAAAATTCCAGATGTTTGCCTCAGAAAAATGTTGACTGGTAAACATCGAAATGTTGACTGGCTTTGAGTGAAAAGTTGACTGCTTACGTCACAGCTCATTACTATTCGGTATTTCCCGGCCATTACTCGGCAACTTCCGCCGTCAAGCAATTACCAATAGTGACATCCCTATAGGAAAAATCGCTCACGTCTGCTTCCGGCCGTCTGCAATGTTTATGTATGTCGGCTGCATTATGCAATCATGGGCAGATTTTCGGAATACACTGCTGCAGAAATTGATGAAATTGCAGAGACAGTACAAACACCAAGAATGTGATCAGAGTTGCAGAGAAATTAATAACAGAGTATATTGAAGCAAAGAACAATGCATTTCCACAGGATTTTTTTCAAGATAAACCAAATTGGAGACGTCAGAAATTTTGAAAAAATTATAACAAAACATTTGTAGACTGAGTTTTCGGTCAACATGTGTTATGTTAAACTCACGGACCAAACTGTTGCCTTCAGCCTTCGGCCTCAGGCAACAGTTTGGTCCTCTGGTTCAACATAACACATGTTGTCCTCAAACCCAGTCAACAAATGTATAATGTTGTGTCTTTAATGGACATTTTTTTTGTGCTTTTAAAAAAGTGATGAAAAGTCACTCGATACACTTCATTTGCAAAAATTATTCAAAACATTTTTATGTTTAATTGGTGCAACACAAAACTCTGTGATTTTTATATTTGTATACTTGGGTTTTTTTCCTCTGCAAAATTGAAGCTACTTTAATTTGAAATTTTCCCATTTTCGTCTTGTTTTCCCACTAAAATGCACTCAAAAAATATTAAGTTTTCAATTTTGTTCCTAAATTGTTCACAAAGTAACGAAAATAGTAATTAGTTTTAGCTCTAAAACAGTTGAAAAATTTCTTAAGACTTATCATAAGACTGTAAACATGTTTGAATTTTCTGCAGTATTTATCACTGTTTAAACAATATAAAAACATCTGTCACAAATAATGTGATGTCCTATGAAATGGAGTTTATGTTGGTTATGTTTTTATTAGATGATGAGGACAGTGATGGAAACAAACCAGCCCTGAGTTACAAGGACCGACGAAGGGAGGCCCATACACATGCTGAACAAAAGCGCAGGGACCAAATCAAGGTGTTTACCTAGGCTTATGAAACTATAAATGAATAAATGCATTGCATTGTTATGATTTTCATAGTATCTGAATGTTTCAATTTGCTGTTGAGTATATGCAGAATAATAAATGTAAATGTTTTGTAATAAGTGACAAAATTATATGATCATAACCTTTAAATAATTGTAGCTAATTGTGTGCCTACACAGGCCATGCATATCAATGATATATATATAGATGTATTTGAAAATAATTCAGTACTCCTTGATTTAACCTTCAAAATATATCAATATTCAAGTATCAAAAAAAGATAAAAAGAGATGGCGGATGTTGAAGGTGGCATGGAACAGTCACCTCCAGAAAGAAAACTAATGCAGATTGCAGATAATAATGGACATACATAATAAAATACAGTCAAGATGTTTTCTGCTGAAACATCCAATTGAAAGAATGAGTTTGTCATGTGTACTTTTATCTGTTTCAGAAAGGGTATGATGAGTTACAGAGTATTGTCCCCACATGTCAGCAGGCTGACACTATTGGCTCCCAGAAACTCAGCAAAGCTACAGTCCTCCAACGATGTAAGCTCAACAATTACAAACTGATAACTATCTGCTATAGGCCCTATCAATTTGAGTAGAAAAACAACATTTGAATTACCATTGTAGATAAAATGTAGTCTTCTAATCCTTCAATCTTCAATTTGGTACATATGTTTGTATGTGTATTTTTCTCTCTCTAACAGCCATCGACTACATCCAGTTCCTGGCCAATCAGAAGACAAAACAGGAGGATGAGCTAGACTCTCTAAGGAAGGAGGTCATGGCACTGAAAATCATGAAGGCGTAAGCTCTCTTAGAAAGATTTATCGCTTTAAAATGGGAATTTTTTCCCCTGGTTTCATTTTTTTTATTTTTTGAAATTCTGTTTGCACTTGAACATGAGAGTGCAAATTCAACATGGAGGTAAAATACTATGTTTAATTTGTGGTTAGTAATACATGTACTAATAAGTATCCATAGGCAACTTAAGCAAAGAATGTAATGTCTAGGACAAAACGTATTTAGCGGGTGGCAATGTTATTACAATAAGTGTTAAATCAATATATATATGCATTCATGTGTCATGTCACCTGGTGTAATGTACCATGATGAGTTTATGTGGTGGTGCGTCATCTGTCGTCCACCTGTTATCAGTCAACTTTTCAATTAATCTATATATTTTCCTAAACCGCTAAGCAGAATTCAAGCAAAGTTTAATGCTAGCAACTTAAGGTCATGGGGGCCAGAAGTTATACAAATAAAGCAGCCGGGAGGATGATTCTAAGAAGATAATCTGATTTGCTTTAAAAACATCTTTTCTCAAACTGCAGGGCAGATTTCATCCAAATATAGTGGCAACATGCTTAGCCAGTCAGGATAAAAAAAATAGACAAATATAGGGGCTAGCCCTCCTTTGAAATTGGCTGATTGTTTAAATGACTTCTTCTCTCCAACTGCAGGGTAAATTGCAACCAAATTTTAATGTTAGCATTCTTAGTTCATGGTGATCAATAGTTATCAACAATAACCTACACTTGTACTAGTACTCTTGAGGGCCTGATGTTGTGCTGAAAGAGGTAAAATAGGTTTATTTGCTTTAAATGACACTGCCTCCCAATTTACTAGGCAGATTTCAACCAAATTATTGTGATAATATTCTTAGCCATGTGAATCCAAAGTTATACAAATTAAGAAGCTGACACTGCCAGGGGCTGAGTGGCTAGGTAAAAGGGATCAAATTTACATCTAGTTACTTCCAAGCTACTGGCAGATTACAACCAAATTGTAAATGATATCATGCTTACACCATGGGGTTCAAAACTTCTACAAAAAATGGACTGACCCTCTAGGGGACTGAGGGGCAGAGTCAATAGGGGTCAAATGAGACATTTGATTTAAAAAACATCTCTCCTCAAACTGCGGGATATGTTTTAACCTAACTGGGGTGGTAGCATCAAACCTTATCCCATGGGGAAAAAAGTAAATAAGTTGGGAATGTCCACCAAAATTACTGGTCAGATTTCAACCTCATTTCTGAAATGGCCAGGTGACATTCAAGGCCTTTGGGGCTTTTATTATATTTTAAGCATGACAAAAATTAAATGCCATTAGGACACCTATAAATAAATGCATGTTAAATTAAATTTCCAAATTATACATCATGTGCTGCCTAAATAATACCTGTGATTTTCGTTCCAGGAACTACGAGCACATAGTGAAAACTCACCAGAACACCCCAGTGCATGGTCAGAACTTGGTGTCTGATGAGGTCAAGTTCCAAGTGGTCAGTATATTGCCAATGTAGTCCTTCAAAATAGATTTGAAATACAAATATAAAACATCTGACAGCGAGCTTTGAAATTAATTGTTCAAAATTCATTTGCAAAATGATATGATCAATTGAAAAAAATCACGAAATGCATCAACCCCAGGATTATTTCACTGCAAGCAAGGATCACTGCTTCAAAATTAAATTGCAAAATTTGATAAATGGTTTGACAGTGCTTGTCACTTAGTAAGAAACTTTTGTATCAAGTATCATACGGCTGAAATTCGTGGGCTAGAGCTCGAGTTTGTCTCTGTAATACTGGTTAGTTGGTAATTGATCATGAGTACTTGTCATAAAACAACAAAATTCCTGGATCTGTTTCTGTTAACAGTTTCAAGGAATCATGGATACCCTGTTCCAGTCCTTTAACGCGACCATCTCTGTGGCTAACTTCGCTGAGTTGTCTGCATGTGCCTTCAGCTGGCTGGAAGAATACTGCAAACCTCAGGTGAGAGGGTGTGTCTGTTGACAGACAGTTAACCTCTATTCAGTTCATAGAAGAAATTTGTAAAAACCAGAATCATAAATCTTCAGCATTGGAAGCGTTTTTTTTTTTTTAAATTCTCCTCTATAGTGTTACTTGTAAAGTTCTTCATAATTTTACTTGTAAATTTTCTATGATATCGCTTGTAAAATCTCCTCTATAGATACAACTTACACATTTTTTCTCTGGAGAGTTACTTTTGAAATTCTCTTTAAACATTACTTATCAAATCTTCTATACAAATGTTGCTTGTGAAATCCTCTAAAATGTTGTTGGTGAAATTCTCTATAAAATTACTTGTAAAATTCTCTAAAATGATACCATGAAATACTCTAAAATGTTACTATGTAATTCTCTAAAATGTTTCTGTGAAATAATAAAAAATGTTGCTTGTGAAATTCACTATAATATCAATATGAAATTTTCTAAAATGATGTTTGTGATATTTTCTAAAAAAAATTGCATGTGAAATTCTCAGAAATAGTACTTGTAAATAATTCCAACTGTTGAGTATATGCAGAATAATAAATGTAAATGTTTTGTAATAAGTGACAAAATTATATGATCATAACCTTTAAATAATTGTAGCTAATTGTGTGCCTACACATCAGGCCATGCATATCAATGATATTAAAACCTGTAAATAAATATATAAAATCTTACCTGTGCAATTCCCAAACTTTTACTTGTGAAATTGTCTATTGCCGGTTAGCTGTGAAATTGTCTATTGCCAGTTACCTGTGAAATTGTCTATTGCCGGTTAGCTGTGAAATTGTCTATTGCCAGTTACCTGTGAAATTGTGTATTGTCGGTTACCTGTGAAATTGTCTATTGGCAGTTACCTGATAGTGTTTGTGATAAAATATTTTATAAGAGTTATCTATCTTGTAACAGTTAATGTATGTAAAAATGTCTTCCTTTCAGTCGCTGAGAGAGGTTGTCCTGGGCATCTTGAGGCAGCTGAATAACCAAATCAATCAATAACAAATCACCATTTAAAGAAAGGAGAGTTTCATTACACTTTTATATCATGGAAAGAGATATACAGTTGAATTTGATCACCTACTTGGTTGAGCTTTACAAGTCACAGAAAGTTGTTTCGACGACTACTCTCCCATCTGACGCTGTCTGTAATGAAGAACAGAAAAAGTGGATCCGCAGATTAAATGAGCCTGGATGCAATTCTCTAACCTTTTCACCACTGTAAACCATAATAGACTTGTCCATATCAATGCATGGTAGTGTCTACTATAGTTACATAGGGATGAAAGGGATTAATGTATCTAATCACCTGGTATCACTATGTACGGACAGACACTGTTGCTTTTGAAAAATGAATATTATTTGCTGGATTTGTATAATATCATTATACATGTAAATACATAGTATTACATGATAATATCTACAACTTGAACCCATGGATACAATCATTTTTAATATTGAGTATGTGACAAATATTTTGTCTTATAATGCCATACAAATTGTGCATGGGAAGGCATTTGTTTTTGAAAGGTCAATTTAGATTGATCGTGTGACTTTGTTTCATTAAAACAGGTATGCAAACAAATCAAGTAATACAGTTTCAATTTAGTTATAAATATATTTTTAAATCATGGTGAAGGTGTCTGCTAAATTATTACAGAAAAATAAATCTGTATATTTTGCTACATTCATTATAGATAAATACATGAATATGTGTTTGTTGTACATTATCATGGTGTCAAGTATACCCATACCACTAGTAAAATTTGTGTACGTATGATTTAAAATCTTTACCTACACGATAATAGCTTTAATTACTTCTGAAAAGAAACCCATACCTTGCCGAACTTGTATGACAAAACAATAAAATTGAAATAAATGAAAAATATGTCAACAGCAGTATTTGGAGAATAATAAAACATAATAGGGCAAGGCTTGGATTTTAAACCTGGTCTCCAGTTACAAATACAATACATGTGAACATCCAAACTTATCACCTTAAGGATCCTGACCCAGCCTGACGNACAAGTGAGATCCTGGTTACAGCAGTGAGAGGAAAACACCCACAAGTGAGATCCTGGTTACAGCAGTGAGAGGAAAACACCCACAAGTGAGATCCTGGTTACAGCAGTGAGAGGAAAACACCCACAAGTGAGATCCTGGTTACAGCAGTGAGAGGAAAACACCCACAAGTGAGATCCTGGTTACAGCAGTGAGAGGAAAACACCCACAAGTGAGATCCTGGTTACAGCAGTGAGAGGAAAACACCCACAAGTGAGATCCTGGTTACAGCAGTGAGAGGAAAACACCCACAAGTGAGATCCTGGTTACAGCAGTGAGAGGAAAACACCCACAAGTGAGATCCTGGTTACAGCAGTGAGAGGAAAACACCCACAAGTGAGATCCTGGTTACAGCAGTGAGAGGAAAACACCCACAAGTGAGATCCTGGTTACAGCAGTGAGAGGAAAACACCCACAAGTGAGATCCTGGTTACAGCAGTGAGAGGAAAACACCCACAAGTGAGATCCTGGTTACAGCAGTGAGAGGAAAACACCCACAAGTGAGATCCTGGTTACAGCAGTGAGAGGAAAACACCCACAAGTGAGATCCTGGTTACAGCAGTGAGAGGAAAACACCCACAAGTGAGATCCTGGTTACAGCAGTGAGAGGAAAACACCCACAAGTGAGATCCTGGTTACAGCAGTGAGAGGAAAACACCCACAAGTGAGATCCTGGTTACAGCAGTGAGAGGAAAACACCCACAAGTGAGATCCTGGTTACAGCAGTGAGAGGAAAACACCCACAAGTGAGATCCTGGTTACAGCAGTGAGAGGAAAACACCCACAAGTGAGATCCTGGTTACAGCAGTGAGAGGAAAACACCCACAAGTGAGATCCTGGTTACAGCAGTGAGAGGAAAACACCCACAAGTGAGATCCTGGTTACAGCAGTGAGAGGAAAACACCCACAAGTGAGATCCTGGTTACAGCAGTGAGAGGAAAACACCCACAAGTGAGATCCTGGTTACAGCAGTGAGAGGAAAACACCCACAAGTGAGATCCTGGTTACAGCAGTGAGAGGAAAACACCCACAAGTGAGATCCTGGTTACAGCAGTGAGAGGAAAACACCCACAAGTGAGATCCTGGTTACAGCAGTGAGAGGAAAACACCCACAAGTGAGATCCTGGTTACAGCAGTGAGAGGAAAACACCCACAAGTGAGATCCTGGTTACAGCAGTGAGAGGAAAACACCCACAAGTGAGATCCTGGTTACAGCAGTGAGAGGAAAACACCCACAAGTGAGATCCTGGTTACAGCAGTGAGAGGAAAACACCCACAAGTGAGATCCTGGTTACAGCAGTGAGAGGAAAACACCCACAAGTGAGATCCTGGTTACAGCAGTGAGAGGAAAACACCCACAAGTGAGATCCTGGTTACAGCAGTGAGAGGAAAACACCCACAAGTGAGATCCTGGTTACAGCAGTGAGAGGAAAACACCCACAAGTGAGATCCTGGTTACAGCAGTGAGAGGAAAACACCCACAAGTGAGATCCTGGTTACAGCAGTGAGAGGAAAACACCCACAAGTGAGATCCTGGTTACAGCAGTGAGAGGAAAACACCCACAAGTGAGATCCTGGTTACAGCAGTGAGAGGAAAACACCCACAAGTGAGATCCTGGTTACAGCAGTGAGAGGAAAACACCCACAAGTGAGATCCTGGTTACAGCAGTGAGAGGAAAACACCCACAAGTGAGATCCTGGTTACAGCAGTGAGAGGAAAACACCCACAAGTGAGATCCTGGTTACAGCAGTGAGAGGAAAACACCCACAAGTGAGATCCTGGTTACAGCAGTGAGAGGAAAACACCCACAAGTGAGATCCTGGTTACAGCAGTGAGAGGAAAACACCCACAAGTGAGATCCTGGTTACAGCAGTGAGAGGAAAACACCCACAAGTGAGATCCTGGTTACAGCAGTGAGAGGAAAACACCCACAAGTGAGATCCTGGTTACAGCAGTGAGAGGAAAACACCCACAAGTGAGATCCTGGTTACAGCAGTGAGAGGAAAACACCCACAAGTGAGATCCTGGTTACAGCAGTGAGAGGAAAACACCCACAAGTGAGATCCTGGTTACAGCAGTGAGAGGAAAACACCCACAAGTGAGATCCTGGTTACAGCAGTGAGAGGAAAACACCCACAAGTGAGATCCTGGTTACAGCAGTGAGAGGAAAACACCCACAAGTGAGATCCTGGTTACAGCAGTGAGAGGAAAACACCCACAAGTGAGATCCTGGTTACAGCAGTGAGAGGAAAACACCCACAAGTGAGATCCTGGTTACAGCAGTGAGAGGAAAACACCCACAAGTGAGATCCTGGTTACAGCAGTGAGAGGAAAACACCCACAAGTGAGATCCTGGTTACAGCAGTGAGAGGAAAACACCCACAAGTGAGATCCTGGTTACAGCAGTGAGAGGAAAACACCCACAAGTGAGATCCTGGTTACAGCAGTGAGAGGAAAACACCCACAAGTGAGATCCTGGTTACAGCAGTGAGAGGAAAACACCCACAAGTGAGATCCTGGTTACAGCAGTGAGAGGAAAACACCCACAAGTGAGATCCTGGTTACAGCAGTGAGAGGAAAACACCCACAAGTGAGATCCTGGTTACAGCAGTGAGAGGAAAACACCCACAAGTGAGATCCTGGTTACAGCAGTGAGAGGAAAACACCCACAAGTGAGATCCTGGTTACAGCAGTGAGAGGAAAACACCCACAAGTGAGATCCTGGTTACAGCAGTGAGAGGAAAACACCCACAAGTGAGATCCTGGTTACAGCAGTGAGAGGAAAACACCCACAAGTGAGATCCTGGTTACAGCAGTGAGAGGAAAACACCCACAAGTGAGATCCTGGTTACAGCAGTGAGAGGAAAACACCCACAAGTGAGATCCTGGTTACAGCAGTGAGAGGAAAACACCCACAAGTGAGATCCTGGTTACAGCAGTGAGAGGAAAACACCCACAAGTGAGATCCTGGTTACAGCAGTGAGAGGAAAACACCCACAAGTGAGATCCTGGTTACAGCAGTGAGAGGAAAACACCCACAAGTGAGATCCTGGTTACAGCAGTGAGAGGAAAACACCCACAAGTGAGATCCTGGTTACAGCAGTGAGAGGAAAACACCCACAAGTGCAATCCTGGTTACAGCAGTGAGAGGAAAACACCAACAAGTGTAATCCGGGTCACAAAAGTGGGAAAGATGTTCCCATCTGTGTTGCCCGGATACCAAAAAAGCAAAAAATGCACCCACAAATGCATATTTCCAATCTAACGATGATTAGATACTGAAATCTACTTCATGAAGTAATGGCCCTTTCCTGAATCGAAAGTTCCCACATATGTAACTACCACCTGAAGTTATGCATCCGGGTATTTTTTTTATTTCATTCTGACCCTATTTTACAAAGTAATGGCCCTTTGTTGAAAAAATTTGTCCTGGCAGCTTCTCCAAAACTACAGGGCCAATTTCAAGGGAAGTTTTCAGATGTGATAACTACCCCCTCATGTTGTGCATCAAGGTATTTTTTTCCAACCCTTTTTTATGGAGTTATGACCATTTGTTGAAAAATCCTTGTCCTGACAACTTTCTAATCCACTGGGGTAATTTCAAAGTTTACAGATATGATAACTGCCCCCTGACGTTGTGCATCGAAGTAGTACTTTTTCATTCCGACCCTTTTAAAAGGAGTTATGGCCCTTTGTTGAAAAATAAACCTTTGTCTGTCTCCTAAACTACTGGTCCAATGTCAAGGAGTTATGACTTTTTGTTAACAGTCTTTGTCCTGACAACTTTTCCTTAACGAAGTAGGACGATTTCAGCAAACCTGGTTCATCTGGGCTAACAAGATTTGGTTTGCAAGTTCGTTTTGCCATTGGGAGGGAGTACAGAAAGTATGTCAGTTACCTGTATACTTAAATAAGTGTACAGCTCAGTGAATGCAGAAATCATTACTGGTGTGAGATTATGGACTGCTATGCAATGCTTTACCTTAGTTAGACTTTGGCTTGCAGTTCTGGTTTATATAGGAGCGGGGGTATTAGTTAGCTTTTGGCTTACATTCCTTGTTTTACATATTTTAGGGGTTTAAATCGACTTTCGATGAAAATGCCACACCCCATGCTTACATATAAACGAGAGCTTGATTTTCATCTTTCTCGTATACAGGGACGTAACCAGGCGTACGCACGGACGCACGGGCTTCCACGTAATTTTTTCAAGTATACTTTTAACAAGGGTCACATCGTAGAACTTTATGTGATAAACTTTAACAACTCATATAATCCTGGGCCCTCAGTGAATTCATTATCTCATTGATATTGTCTCTTTTATTGACTATTTAAAGAAATGTTCCTTGTTCATATGGAACTAATTATTACGCCTTTGAAAAAAAATACTACAAGCCAAATATGAAAATGATAGGTATTTTATGTCTCAAACTGCACCAGAATGGGTTCCAGATTCCGAAAAAATCTCGGGGTGGGGTGGGGG